TCTTAAAATAGTAATGTACAATCAAAAGTGCTTTTTTTAAGAAAGTATATTTGTAACCAGAATGCACTAGTACCTTTACACCTGGTCTTCTTTTCCAACATGTGATTTCTTCAGATGTTAACATCCTCTTAGGTGTGCTTTTTCCCCAAGCTTTGCGCTGTTTTAATGTAATATGTAGTCTCTTATAATGCTTGTGAAGTTTTCTCAATATTAACTACCACATACTTTCCCTTGTTGTTGGGTCAGTGTTTGTAGTCATAAAATACTGCCTTAAATAGGAAAACTCTTCATAAAACAGGATATTAGTAAATTTTCAAAGTACTAGTAATTGTTTGTGCCTATGAGGTGCAACAATAATTCTGTGTGAAAAACTTGTTTAAATACAATTTCTAATTATCACATTAATACAATTCATAAATAACAGATGTCTGAAATTGGTCCAGGAGAATATTCAGAATAGCAAAGGGAAATGGTTGAATAAACTTCAAAATTTATTATATTCATGAATAAAATATAAATCTAAATTTGGCCAAGAGTTACATCATTGTTTTAAAATTGAAACAATTTTGAATATATAAAACTATTTGTCTTCTGGTACCAAACAATAATTTGGGGCACCATAATCATACTTTTTGTATCTGAATATCAGGTATGTTAAAATCTTGTTGCAAATTAACATGGATTTTAAACAGAAGATATTTGATATATAACTTTGAGTATATTTTTTATTAAAAAAAATCAGTTAATTTCAATCATAACTGTAGTTTGCATCAGTTTTAAAATAAAATATAAAAAAAATTATATTCTTTGATAATGTAGCAAGATAAATGTGCTAAGAAGAGCTATTTGTGAGTTTCTCCCATATTGTCGAGGTCACATACTGTCGTAGCAGAGTGACTTGCATTGGATAAATGCAATGTGCATTTCAGTATAATATTAAAAAGAAAAAATATAATTTATGATCTTAATTACTTAATATTCCCTTTTCAAGTTCATATTTATTATGATTTGTTTATAATGGTTATTATCAGTCTCTGTGTGGTTTAATTACAAAGCTCCACATTCAATTTAATAAAACATACATTAGCATCAATCTTTCGTGGAGCATTTTGGAAAGTATGCTTTTAATAGGTGATGGGGAACAATTATCTGTTCTACAGATTGTAAAAATTCTCATGATCCCTAAGATCTATTAAAAATACCATTGCACTCCATACACACATTTACTGTGGCAACACATGAAAAGAAAACATCTCTGATCAATATGCTAAAGATCCAGTTTCATAGCAAATGTGTTTCTCTAACAGTGACGTCACATACAAACAGACAAATATTCCTGGTTCTGATCACTATCCATTGAGTACTTCTTGATGAAGAAGACTGTTGCAAATTAAATGTGACTTCATCTCTCATGTGATGGCACTGCAAACCAGTCACTTTCTGACCTCCATTCATATATCACAATAGATGTAAAAGCCATGATAAAGACCTTATAAGTAGCAACACTGCTGTTCATTATTTGGTAGAAAGAAATTGACAGAATGTCAGTGTGTTAATATGTTTGGCTAGTACAGTTTTTCAAACTAATACTGCTTCCAGAATCCCCAGGTTTTCTGTACTCTATCCTATTAATATTGGACTTTCATTTGTTGTGCAGAAAACTCATTGATAATGAGAGGTAATCAACAAGACAGTCAATAATGTTTTATGGAAATGAGGATCCTGAATGGGTAGAGAATCTGAACTGTGATGGATGACGATAAACTGCTAATACTGTCAAATGGTGAGCGCCTCTCCTTGCTACCTAATGTCAGTGATGTTTGAGATTTCTTCAATAATTTGTTGTTCACCCTTCATCACTCAAAACTCAAAATGTTGATTAGGTCAGAGTGGTAATGCCCATGCAAGACCTTGAAGGTTTCCATTATGTCGCTGCCTGTTCTTACATTGATGGGACATTGTGTTTGTAAAACAGGTGCATCCCTAACGATGGAGGAATTGTCATAACTTCAGATTTCCAATGCAACCTAAGAACAGTGAATGACCTACTCATAAAAACAGATGGTGTATGTGTATGCAACTTAAATATAGATGTGCACATTATTTGGTGCCCTATGTTTTTGTTCATTCTGGTTCACTCTGAGGAAAATGCAGTCTACTAAAATATTTTTAGGCTGAATTGGCTGTGTTTGTTTTCTCTGTGCGTAGCCTGCTTTTGTGCAGTTCACAAAGTAAAGCACCATGCTTGCTTGTTCACAAAAAATGTGATGCAAAGACACGACGTAAATAGTAAAGTAGAAACAGTACATCTAAGAATATTCAAAGCCTTCCGAACTCCTAGTTCCCAAAGCAGGGCAAGTAGTTTCTCATGTGTGGTTCAAATATTCAAATATATAAAACCAAATTTAATGGATTGTTGGGTTTTTCTTCTAGGTGCAAGAGCTGAAGTTTTTAAGCTAGCTACAGTATCCCGTTTTGGAAAAGCGTAGATCTCTGAAAACGTTCTCTCGACAGAGATGATCTTGGAGAACAACAGGACATGCATGCTCAACATTCTCTTGGGATAGACTGACAAAGTTGCAGTTAGCTTTGGCTTGAAACCAGCTGGATCCGGGGAGGCTAAAGACGACGCCCTGTCTCCTGCCTTACAGGTAATGCTGTTAATGTTCAACTTGATTGTTAGGAAGGAAGCAATGGTAACTGATGTGTATTCTTAAATGAAATAGTCAGTTCCCTGTTAATGAAAACACCATGGAATAGCAGAATAACTATTAAATATAGATTAGTGGATGGTACTGAACATCGTTGGTGAACTACAAAATTGATGTGGTTGCGTTGAGCACTTTGCAGGAGTAGACTGACAAGCTGTACTGAATAGACCCATCTTGTACAGCAATTGGTTGTCCAAGAATTTCATGCCTGTTAAGAGAAAAGCTGCAAGAATATGCCAAAGTCAAGCGTAAGGTGAATTAAAGAGTTTTCCTTCTGCTATTTCCCTTCCCCGCATTAGTCTTTTTGTTAGCTGTGACCATATTTGTTTATTTTAATTTATTAGTGGTTTTTGTGAACGTGATTTTTCACTCTTTAAACCATTGACTGCTCTGGTGTTGCTCCTTGGCTAGTTGTAAGATACTGAGTTAGAGGGCACAACCAGCTAAATGCTTTTTGGGTGTGTTGCTTATCTGAGTGCGCAGATAACAGTATTGAAAGAAGAGGTTCTTTGTGCAATGTTGAAAGAAAGTGAACACATGACAGAAGTAGGAAAAATCTTTTCTCATCAACAATGAATGCAAATCAGCTTTCATAAGCATTGTTGTGTGTTGAATGCAACCTTTATTACATCTTTTCTAGCCCTACTTTCAACCAGCACTCTGAGAAGTTAGTCTACGCTTATTTCAGTTGTTTCATTGTTATATAATTTTTTACATAAATAAATCTTAAGAGTGTTTGAAAATTGAACAATTTGAAAACAGTTGTAAAAGTGTAATGCAAATGTTTAACTTTCAAACACTGAAAAAGTAGAACTAAAATGAGAAAAACCAAATGAATTTTTGATTCATACTTCCTTTTCTTTTTTGGACATTTGACTAGAATTTACTCTGATATTGGAAATTGTAATTGAGTATTATCAATACAACATAAAATATCAGATTTATCACAGTATGAGAGAAATTGTAAATTTCTTACATTTAATTTTAGATTTGTCTTATAATACTGCAAGACTTACTAAAAATTATTTTGGAAGAATGGGTAAACATGCAGAACAACAATAAAATCAGAAATTTAATCTCAGCATTTGGAGCCAAAATAAATGAACTGCCAGATAGTAAAATAATGAGGCTCACAATCCTGAACTTCCTTGCGAAGGTGAACAAAACTTTCATCATTTGCAGAACTCACCTATGCATATCATGACCCGTGGTTAGGAGCCCCATCACTGATCCTGGTAAGAGAGACCATTTTTCTTGCAAAATATGCTTCTCCTGCCATTTAGCGGCATTGAAAAAGTGCCATTTAGAACTTTCTCTGATATCCAGGGATTGACAAATTTCTGAAAGAAAAACTACCCAGAGGGCAGAGACAATTGCTTAAAGACAACAAAGTGGGATGTTTCTTCAACAAAAATATGCATTTCATACCATTTAGTACTTTAATACCTATTCAACCTTTATATACATCACCATTAGTGACAAACTTATATACTTATTCAGTTCCCTAGATACCAATAAAATAAATCACAAAATAAATGCTACCCAAATGAAATAGAAATACTCAAACTTAAGAGTGAATGAGTCTTCAATGATCTGCTCACTCTTCATTGACAGCCGTAGTTCAGACATTTCTCAAATAATCTGAAGGCACGAGAGGCACATTTACACCGGAAATGTACCCCGCACATACCATACCTGCCGATTAGTGCACTATTGTTCCAATAATATTTCTTGCCTATGTGGCAGCTAGCTGCTGACTGGGGAGAGGGGATTCCGTTACCAAATTACAGACATCAAATTCTACTGAAGTCACAGCAAGTGGCCGCCACAATGGATATTATTATTGAGGGAAACAAATGAAATCCTAGTTGGAAGCAGCTGTAAAATAAGTAGTACCATTACTTTGATGACGAATCATGCTTGTGGTAATGAGGTCTGCTGTCGAATGCTATTATTTCAGGCCGATTCAGGCCAGCGATATTACAGGCAGAATATAAAATTAAAAGGCACGTTTTTTATAGGAGAAATATACAAACATATAACCTCAGCAGGGGAACCGATCGTAACTGCAAAATAATCTAGAGATATTTAATTTGCAGGAACGAACCTAATTTGATTTACAATATAATCGATGACGGCATTTTTTTTGTCGAGCAGACTAGGTGTTCGAATGGAGTTTTCTGTCGGTAGGATTGCATACGTCGACCTGGGACGCATTATCCACCACCGCAACACGAGGGTTTCCTCTCCTTCCCGCTCTTTTGCTTCCCCTTTCTGCACATCCGCCACCGCCCCTTGTCCTCCGCCACTAAACATCTGCTTCCGCGTATCCGCCTCTGCTTCTCCGCCTCTGCTTCTCCGCCACTCTGCTGTGCTTCTCCGCCACTCTGCTGTGCTTCTCCGCCACTCTGCCGTGCTTCTCCGCCACTCTGCCGTGCTTCTCCGCCTCAGTCTCCGAAAAAAGCTTTGTAATTGTACCTCGCCTGCCTGCTCGCGTCTCTGCCGCCGCCTCTCTGCCGCCGCCTCTCTGCCACAGGCATATCCCGCCACGCTTCTGGATCCGTTTCTCTGCCACAGGCAAATCCCGCCACGCTTCTGCCTCCGTTTCTCTGCCACAGGAATATCCCGCCACCTCTCTGCCGCCGCCTCTCTGCCATAGGTCTAACCTGCCACCCCTCTGCCGGCGCTGCCGCTCTGCCTCAGGCTTAACCTGCCACGCCCTTTCCGCCAACGCCGCTCTATCTCAGGCCTAACGTGCCACGCCTCTGCCGCCGCCGTCGCCGCTCAGCCTCAGGCCTAACCTGCCACGCCTCTTCCGCCAACGCCGCTCTATCTCGGGACTAACGTGCCACGCCTCTGGACAAGGAGGTGCCTGTGGAGAAGCGGAGAGGCGGAGAGGCGGAGAGGCGTACTTTTAGTGGCGGAGGACAAGGGGCGGTGGCGGATGTGCGGAAAGGGGAAGCAGAAGGGCGGGAAGGAGAGGAAACCCTCTTATTGCGGTGGGGGGCAATGCGTCTCAGATCGACGTCTGCATTCCTACCGATAGAAATCTTCATGTAGACACCTAGGCTGCTCGACGAAAAGTGTTTTATTATATTGTAAATCGAAAGAGGTTCGTTCCTGCAAATTAAATATCTCTAGATTATTTTGCAGTAATTTCGTCTCTCCTGCTGAGGTTACATGTTTGTATATTTCACCTATAAACAGGTCTACGTGCCTTTTACTTTTTAGATTCTGCCTGTAATCACTGCATCAAGTCGGCAAGGTCCACACTCTTAATAACAGGAATTAGTGCTGCTCTGCAGTGGTCGTAGAACACTGTATGTGCAGGACATCTTAGTCGTTCTCAGTGGACCGCTCAATCAGTTCCTCGAGGAACGGAATATTTGACTTACTATTTTCAATTCTTGCATTTATCAAACAACCTTTTTACCTGTAATTTTCGCTCGAATTCTTGTGGCTGCTTGGCGAGGCGACGAAAGCGACGCGATGACGCACAGGAGGAGCGGCGATAGCGAGGCGAATATTCCAAGGCTAGACGAATATGGCGAGGCTGCTCGCCGACGTAGGCAACTCGCAAAAAATGCCGTCATCGATTATATTGTAAATCAAATGATGTTCGTTCCTGCGAAATAAATATCTCTAAATTATTTTTCAGCAAATTTCGTCTCCCCTGCTGAGTTTACATGTTTGTATATTTCACCTAACAACTCTACATGCCTTTTACTTTTTAGTTTCCGCCTGTAATATCACTGCATCCATTCTGCCAGGTTCACACTCTCAATAACAGGCGTTAGTGGTTCTCTGCTCTGGTATTTCTTAATAAACACGACGCGTTTTCAGATTGTCAACATGGGTTTCGAAAATCATAATCTACGGAAACAGCCATATTTCCTTTTATTAAAGATCGCATCATCCATGGATCAAAACGAAGCATCTATTGGAATATTTTTAGATCTTTCAAAAGCTTTTGAAGTCACTGATGATAATATTTTACTCTCAAAAGTACTTTCGTATGGAATTCGGGTTGTTGCTCTAGATAATGTTCGTACCTTAAACAAAGATTTCAGACTCCAAATACCTTACTGGAATAATGGAGCATTATGTACACACTTTTCTGATTCTTTGTCAGTTGCGTGTGGAGTCCCGCAGGGATCGAATTTAGGTCCTATTATCTTCCTACCATACGTAGACAATATGCCCTCCACGATTAGAAACGGAAGATCAGTTCTCTTTGCGGACGATACGAATATTCTTTGCAATAAAGAAACCGTAAATAGTACAATATCAGATATTTCTAATTGGTTTCGTAATAACAAGTTATTAGTAACTGTTTCAATGCAGTTCTCTAGTTTAAATAAACAGTTCGGCAATTCACTAAAAATGAACGTGTGCCATTGACTGATGTGAAAGTAACAAAAATTTTTGGGTCTTTCAATTTAGAGGAACCTTAAATGGCCATTTTAACGAATTGAACACTAAATTAAGTTTCTTTGCTATACGTTCAGAATTATTTGAAATTCAGTCAGCGTCCACACTGCTCGTTGTGTAGATTTCGCGACTGGAAGGAGACGGCGGGACTCCAGCGCCATAAAATAAATAGTTAAAATGAACGTCTGATAGATTGGTATGTACTCGGCTTCTGACGGCAAGTTTTCCTCCTTCAGGGTTTTTTCCTAAGCGGTACCTTGTGGTCTCTTTTCCCGGCTTTGATGCGATGGAGAGACCATTTGGGGTGAATACCAAAATTCGAAACATTAGAACGCGAAAGGATGTAGGTATTGTAATGGCTTAAAGGCCCTCGGCCTAGCTACATAGGATCAAGTAAGCTAAATAAATAATATTTCGCGAATGTTCATTCCCGCTTGAGATGTGGCATAATATTCTGGGGAAATACATATTTTAGATTACAAAAAAGAATTGTGAGAATAATAAGCGTGATCGTGATAATTGTTGTCCCACAACTACAATTATTAAGATATATTTTATTTAATTAAATCTGTTCCTTAAAGATAAATTTTGAAATAAAAGTGTACAAGTTTAGAAAATGTCAGCTACTTTTCACGTAATTCTTGCGTAAGAATACGGCGAAAACTTACGTGCTGTTTTAGCACCATTAGTTTATATTATCCTCGACTACTCCACTGCCATCAGCACTCTTCGACCCGCAGCTTGTGACTTTGGTCATCGCTTAAATTTTTACTTAACCAGTCAAAACAAACAGACCTTCGCCAATCATTATATCGTATTTCAAGCAGTGCAGCTGCACAAATCGGAATGTCATAGAGATGTTTGATGAACAGCGGGCTCGCACGCATTAGCAACCAGGAATCCCAGGTCTGGATATGACGAATGCAGAAGAAATTCTCCGAGCAAGGCCATGACAAACGTAACAGGGAAGAAAACCGCAGTCTTGCGAATCGTTAGGCAACTTCCGAAGACCTCACGAACGCATGCTCACATCGCACCTGCCACAATCATGGTTTCCACGCGTTATGTACAAAATTCGCTAAAGAGTTCCACCGAGATGGAAACAATTAGACTTACGATACGAAATAAGAACGTGATGAAGGCAGGACGGGTCAGATGAACATAGAAGCAAAATGCTGAACTTGACTCTCGGTGAGGCTTACGTCTTCGTTTACGAGAGAACCTTTCAAGTCTTGACGTAAGACATATTGAGGCGTTCGCAACAGTTAATAGGTGAACGGACTGTAATATGGTGTTAACGGGCTAGTAAAGGGATCAGGGCACGAGCCGCGTCTATGTGTGCGTCCGACAACAACCCACCAAAAAGCGACGCCGACGGAACGGGCAGCAGCGTCAAGCTGGCATAACCAAGGTCGCCACACGAAAACGAAACATGTCAAATATTTATTGCCTAATTTAATTCCACAATTTGAAGAATTGTCATGTTTTCGTGGCGAGTCGTAGCCCGAAGTAAATCTAAACGCACCCAATTACTAATAAATTACCACTATTTGGAAGTAACTTTACGGCGATAATACGTGGCATTTAATTCCAAATTGTGGAAATTAAATAGCAATAAACCATTTGACATGCTTCATTCCCGTGTGCTGGCATGGCGGTTCCGGCTTCAAGCGCCTGGAGCGCGCCAGACAACCGACTGGGCAGCAACCGACTGCGAAGAGTTGCGAGGGCCCACTGACCTTTGAAGGACGAGGCGGCGCGTCACAGCAGCTATGCTTCCGCGTGAAGTGTCCGTGTCCGCAGGCAAGCCGCCTTGCACTTCCCAGTCTAAGCAACCCTGAAATGTACCCGCCGCTCGGACCTCGCCGAACGAAGGCGATTCAATTGCAGTCGGCTCGAAGAGGGACGAAGTTGAGCGGCTCCAGTCGCCATCCGAACGGCACTTGCTACAGACAGTGGGCGGTGCATCGAAGGTGGTGTGCGGCATTTGCCGTCCTGCTGTCAGATCTACATTGAGCCACAGACTTACACTCCGGCACTGTGAGCACTTGTACGGTATCGCAGTCAAGTTTCGGCTCTACATAAGCACCATGAAACTACTTGACTCGGTGGGAAGCTTGAATTCCAACATCGACTCTGAGGTGCAACACAGAAGGCAGCAGGTCGCATCGACATAATCTGGTACCTCAGATAATGTGCCAAGAGCATGGAACAATTTCGATATGAGGTATATTGTTTGTCAATAATGGTTCACTCTATTCGTCTAAAACATCGTATAAAAATTAATTCAAATTCATAAACGTTATTGTTTGTAACTTCTGTAATGACGTTCCTCACAATAAAGAGTATGTACAATGTAGTTCATTATAACTTCTGTGTTGTCACATCAGTTTCCTTGTCGGCGACTTCCCTCTCCTCCCGCGCAACAAACGACACGGCGCGACGCTCAACTCTTATACTACGCAGATCTTGCGCAACTCTAAACAAGTTAGCAAAAGCCCAAAAGTATTTGGAAATTTTGCAATTTTTCGAAACTTTATAATCAACAAAAGTCTGTATTGTTGATTATGAAGTATGCTGATAGAAAGGCCTGTGCACTGTTTATCAGCACACTTTTCTCCAAATAATAAAAATATTTTGGTGCCAATTTTGAGAAAATATTGAAAATGGGCTGCATGCTTCACGTAAAGTACCCCTCTACCAAAATTAAAACATTGATTTCAAATGCAAGGGTTGCCAAGGAGTTTGGTGGTAAATCTGTCGACAGTTTCAACAAGCGTTGTTTACAGACGGCGGGACAGGCGATTTGCCGTCAACTAATTTTTCAGCAACAAGGATCCACAAATCGCAGATTCTGAGTACACAGCCTCTGAAGACATCCCTCAACCGTGTGTACTGGTCTTCTTACCCTTAGGGCTGGCTCTTCGTCTCACAGAAATACACTGCGATTTTCGC